AGAGTGTGTATCAATAATACCTTAATAAAGAAATATATATATATATATATATATAAAGTTTAAGTTCCTGTCAAGGTCCCACAGCTAGTGAGCAGCAGAACTGGGATTTTGATCCATCATCATGTCACTTCAAAGCCTGCTCCTTCCTCTGCCCCCCACCCCCACAGCCTTATGAGGCTCCTTGTCACTCTGCCTGCCAGCTGCTGGGGACTCACTGCCAGGCTTACCTGGCAGGCTGTTGTTGAGTATCCCTGGCCCTGGCCCTTGTCCTCCTCCCCAGCAGCATGATGTGGGCTGCACCCCAGGTGGGCACATACTGCTCTGGTTTTGCAGTGATTGTAGAGGGCTGCAAGTTGGCTTCTAAAAATTAAAATAGTTCTGTACTGCTATTTAAAATATAGAAATAGTGCCTGAGACCCATGATTTCACAGATCTTCTTACTTGAGGATAATGCCACATGACAGAAATCAATCTTACTGATGCCAGTACTTGGGTCTTGACAGTGTGTAAAGATGGTAAGTAATAAAGGGGTAGGGGAATGGGTGAAATAGGTGAAGGCAAAAAAAAAATTCATGGGAACGCTTGGTGATGGTTATGTGAGTGTATACACATGTCAAAATTCATTGAGCTATACAGTAAGATTTGTGCATTTATTGTATGTACATCAATAAAAAATTATTGAAATCAAAATTAATTGAATTTAAAAAAACAAAAATTAAGAAAACTAGCAAGCTTAAAACTTACAACCATCAGTGACTTTGTGGCTATTTTAGACAAGCATCAGAATGGAATAAAGCACCAAAGTGGGGGAAAATTGTTAAAAAAAAAAAGATGGTAAGTAAAGGATGAAGTTTGAGACACAGGGGTGGAAGGACAGCACAGGTTTACAGCCCAAGGCTGTGCCAGTACCGGCTCTGCTCCATGTCCTGTGTCCTGAAAAGCAGAATGAGGATTATCATTCCACTTGCAAAGTTTAAGGAGCCTGTTTTCTGACAGGAATTTAGTATTTCAGACATGGAGGTGTTCTGCAGAGACCACCTCTTCTGAGCTCTTGGACCCCTGATTTGAGGAATCTGATGTCCTCAAAGTGCCTGCTTGCTTCCACAGGTCACCAAGAAGTTGTACTCAATGGGCTGCTATGAGATCTCCCTGGGGGACACAATCGGCGTGGGCACCCCTGGGATCATGAAGGACATGCTATCTGCTGTCATGCATGAGGTGCCAGTATCTTCCCTGGCTGTCCACTGCCATGATACCTACGGCCAGGCCCTGGCTAACACCTTGATGGCCCTGCAGGTAATCAAGACATGTCCTAGGAGAAAGGCACATAGCCATTCTCCCAAAGGGTATGGCAGCAGGACAACTAGGTTTCATTTATTCTTTCAATGAGCATCCACTGATACCTTTGTGCCAGGCCCCGAGCTGGCCATGGTGTACGCAGACATGTGACCCTGTCCTGAAAGTGCCCACATCAAAATCTCAACATTGGGAGAGGCTTACTTTAGGTGGTGATCAGGAAGGGCCTGAAGGAGGTAGCGTTTAGACTGAGACTTTAAGGGTGAGGAATCAGCAGTGAAAAAAATGGAAGATATTCCTGGCAGAGGAAACAGTGTAATAAGCAAAAAAAACTGACACTGTTCCAGGAACTAAAAAGAGAAACACTCTCTTTCAGTGTTTAACAGAATCATAGCCAAAGGAATGAGTAACTATCAGTGGACTTTCAGCAGCCAATTGAGAGGTTGCAAGGGCTGGCTATGTAGGCCCTGATCCCCACAATAACAACCATGTTTCACTATGCTTGTGCTATCCAGATGGGAGTGAGTGTCGTGGACTCTTCTGTGTCAGGACTTGGAGGCTGTCCCTATGCAGAGGGGGCATCAGGAAACTTGGCCACTGAGGACCTTGTCTACATGCTGTCTGGCTTGGGCATTCACACGGTAAGTCCACCTGCCCCCTGGTGGCAACATCCCTAAACTGAGCAGGGCTTGGCTTGAAGCCAGAAGCTGCTGGGTTTGTTTTGGTGGTAGAAGGCAGAGTGGAAGGGTGCCAGGGTATTAGGGATATTTTGTTGTTTTGGAGGTAGCAGAGTACGGTTGGTTGAGGCCAAGAGAAGGCCAGGCTCTCTGTTGATTTTGACAGTTCAGTCTGAGGAAGAACCAGGGTGTAGGGAAAGATCCCTGAAAGGGGTCAGGCCCATGACCTGAATTGAGTTAGTTCCCTCTGGTCCTTTCATTCTCTGTAAATGAGGGTGGTGGAATTAGCCCCTCAGAGCTCTGTCAGTCAGTCCGCACCATCAGTGGTGGGTTGGAAAGCAGTACAGCCTCTGCTTTGGGATCAGACAGAGCTGGGTTTAAAACCAGTCCTGCCACTCACAGGCTATGTGACCTGACAAATTACTTCACCTCTCTGGGCCTAAAAAATGGGAATAATAACGGCACCTATTTTGTAGGGCAGTTACGTGGATTAAGTAGGAAAATGTAGAATGCTTACCCCAGAGCTGAGTACATAGTACACATGAGCTGTTATGAACAGAGGTTTTCAGTGGGGCCCTTTTAGTTGTTTGAACTCCTACTACTCTGTGCCTCACAGTGCTTATTCAATATGCAGTTTCTGACCATTGGGGGCCAGGTCCTGCACTGGGCCCTGGAGATGGGAGTACTGAGCCAGACTGGTGAGGTCCTTACTGGTGACAGCACAAGAAACCATTACACAGATTGAGGCATTTTATACAAGGGGAGTCAGAGAGGTAGCCCCAGATGCCAAAAGGACACAACCTATCAAGCAGCTGGTGTCCCACCAGCAGAGGAACAAGAACCTGTTTGTCTTCACCTTTACTTCTTCAGCATCAGTTTTCTGTCCAGCCTCATGTCCCCCTGGGTGTTGAGAGCACATCATGACTTACTACATCCTCTAACTTGTTTCTCAAAGGGTGTGAACCTCCAGAAGCTCCTGGAAGCTGGGGCCTTTATCTGTCAAGCCCTGAACAGAAAAACCAGCTCCAAAGTGGCTCAGGCTACCTGTAAATTGTGAGCCCCCTGCCCACCCAAAGCCCTGGGAACTGTGTGGGAATAGGGAGGGACATGCATGGATGACTGGGGAATAGGGAAATGGGAATGAAATTAACAGGGGCAGGCACCTCACACCAGCTCTGCACGTAAGTCCCTCCTGCAGAAAGGAGGTGAGGGACAGGAACTACTTGGCCATAGGACCCTGCCTTCCAGACCTGAGTATGAGTGAGAAGCTTTGGGGGCTGGACCCAACAGTCCAGAAGTTGAATGCCTGACAGTACTTGGGAACACAGTTGCCTGGCTTGGGTTGATGCTCAGGTCTCATCACTGGGTGAAATCTGCCAGCTGACTACTATACACAACTTGACCCTGCCATGGCCTTGGGGCATTGCTCTCTGACTTCCCAGGGCAAAGGGAATGGAGTTTTTCCCAAGCTGGCAGAGAACATTCACAGAAGGGGTAAGGCCAAGTTCTGTGACAGCCGCCAGCCAACTCCAGCACCTCTAGAAAATCTCCACGCTGAACCTGATTTTAGATGAGTTTATATAATTAAAATTTTAATGACATAGAACCATTCCACTATTCTGTTGTGCAGATACGTGTATAAATGAATGGGGGATAGGTGGGGGAATCACACATCTTTACATCACATTCTGAGAGGAAAATGTACACTTTGAACTAAGTTTGCTGTCTCTGGATTTCCTCCATTTCCTGACCTGAGATGAAAATTCAGTGTCTGGAAATCAGTGGCTTTGTGCCTACACAGGGCTGGCCAGAACACGCTGGAGATGCTGTTTCTGAGGCTCTTGGCTTTGTGACCAGGGCTATTTTACAAGTTGCTCCGTGGGCGGCAGCAGCCGTTTGCTCCTCTGGGCCTGGGAGGTGTGCGTCTGGACGCCCTTAGCTCTCTCTACCTCGGGCTTTGTCCTCTGTCAGAAACACTTGTGCGTTATTTCCTTGCTCGGATTTCAACACCCAATGTCATGACTTCAGACATATCATTCCACAGCCTTACCTTTATTTTAAACACAACATACCATTTTGTAATCTGTGGTAGGCAACGTGCATACAGACCATTACCAGCAGTTGCGGAGGAGCGGGGTACGGTGCGTGATGGTTGAGCTCAGTCGGCACTGGAATTCCTATTTGGCTTCAGACGTTCCTCCAGCTCTCTGGTGGATTTTCAAACCACACTTCCCGGAACCAGCAGCATTTGGGCGACCCCCACCCATTCCCTTCAATCAGCCCCACCCCGTTTTCTTGTTGCATGCAGTCGTTATCTTTGCATTTCATGCCGGGCTTACTCTGAAGAAAGGATTTTGGCAGATATAAAAAGGTTGGAAAACCTGTGGGTGAGCCTAGAGCGGAGGTGGTCGGTCCCGCCCTCCGCCTGTGGCTCCCGCCGGCCTAACTCCCGGCGCGCTGCACTCCTCCAGCCCGGGGGCGCGGCACCCTCTTGCAGAGGTAAGGACCGGGGTTGGGGGTGCGAGAAGGGGGTGGCACAGACCAGGGAGCAGATCTCTGCCGCTAGGCTCAAGCCTCGGGTCTGGGCCGCGCCCCCCATCTCACCCCGCCAACTTCCTAGACACCGGGAACGGGGCCGCCAGCTCCCGCCTTTTGTGGGAGCGCTCGGCGCAGGCGCCCTGAAGCCGCAACACATTTTGACCTCCCGGCGCCCCGTAGTACGGACTCCCTAGTGACACGTTTCTTTGGGGGCGTGGAGGGGGCGGGACCAGGGTGGGCAGTCGACCCTTAAAGGGACCCGGGCGCGGGGCGCGGGAGGCGGCGCCGCTGGGAGGCAGCGCGGGGCGAGATGTCCCGAGCAGGTTCGGGAGGCAAATGAGGGGCCGGGCGGGCTCGCGAGGAGCGGGTAGGGAGCGGGGAAGAGTTTCGGGGATCCCGGCGCGTTCTGGACAGAGTCCGGCCAGGGTGGGGCGAGTCCGCCCCCGCTGCTTCCAGCTCCCTCTGCCTTGGCTGGGGTGGCCCGGGTTCATTCATTCCAGGCCTAGGGACTCCTAGCTCGGTCCTCTCCGAGCCATGGCCCAAATCCCAGCCCGAGGTCCAGCGCACTTTCTGTCCATTATGCGGACTGGTAAAACTGAGGAGGCGACAGCTGACCGAGGCCACCCCTCAGGTCTGGAACAAAGCTGGTCCCACCAGCCTTTCTGTCTCCCAGAGTCCCTCCGCACCCACTTTCCTGGAGTCCGCACAGTGCGCAGAGCTCGGTAGGTGAGGGCGGGGACCGCTTCGGTGGCTTCCGGAGCAGAGTCCAGAGGGAAGCAGTGTCCAGAGGGAAGCAGTGGGGGTGAACTTCTTGGGGCGAGATTGCGAGCCTGGAAATACGGATACCAGCCTGGCGATCACTAGCTGTGTGACCTCAGGCAAATTACTTTACCTTTCTGACCTTAGTATCTCTTATGTAAAGTACCAGTAATTATACCTGCCTCATCAGGATTCGAGAATAATTTAGGAAAGTAATGCAAAAGAGCCCAGTACAGATCCTGAAACGCAACAGGCACTCAGTCCAGTGGGTTGGAGTGGAAGAGCCCAAAAGGGATTGAGGCAGCCTGGAGGAAGGTGGCTGTGGGCCAGGCCGCCAGGAATGAAAGGCCTCAGTGTCTGGGGTTTCCTACCTCTCCACCCCTTCTGCCCGCAGTTTGTTCTTGGCGGAGGCGCACACCTGGCAGTGGAGTCGGGGCCAAGGCCACGTCGACACCCCCGGCTCAGTGCCGCCTAGTTGGGCGGGATACTTTGCTCCAAGCCAGGAGTGATCAGGCTTGCCCCAGCATCTGCAGAGAATGAACCAGCCTGGCTGACCTGGGGTGGGGTGGGGCCGGGTGGGGCCCACTCCAGGACTGCAATGCTACTGCTCCAGAGCTGGGCTCAGCCTGCCTGGAAAAGGACCCCACCCTGAGGCCATCTGGTATATTTACTGCTTCCTCCCAGCTGACCCTTTAGGGAGAGGGAGTCAGGAGGGCTGCCTAGAGCAGCAGGTACTAGTCACTGAGCCAGTTTACACCTAGTGATGGTAGAGGAACTGGGAAGGCCTAAGTCTAAGCAGGCAGGACTGCTTCCTGGGCTTTTGGGAGTCCCGGTGCTGCTGTCATGTTTCCTTCTGCCCAGGACTGTCCAGTCCCCCAACACCTGGGGAAAGGCATTGAGGACCCTCAGATTCCATCTTCCCAACCCTAGGTCAATTGGAACTCAAAACTATGGTGCGTATGCACCAGTCTCCCCACATATCACAAGGCAGCCCTTTAAAATCACTTCATTTAACCCTCACACTACCACATATTTGTACAATTACCAGCTCTGTTTTATAGAGATGGAAACTGAGGCCAGGACAGGATAAATGATGGTATCCAGACTTGGACCAAGGATGATTCTAGAGCCATCCTATTAACTAGGTACACCACTGCCTCCCTCTGGGGCCAGATTCCATTTGGAAAGAGGCTCTGAGCAGATAGCCTCAGCCATTCTGAGACTCTGTATCCTGGGCCAGGTGCGATGGCAGAGAAGGTGCTGGTAACAGGTGGGGCAGGCTACATTGGCAGCCATACAGTGCTGGAGCTGCTGGAGGCTGGCTACACACCCGTGGTCATTGACAACTTCCATAATGCTATACGTGGTGAGTGCAGGGGCAGGGGAGCCAAGGCTTCTGGAGGGATGGAAGGTCCCACTTTCAAGGGGGGCGGGGGGCTAGTCCCTTGGGAACCGAGTGTCCCATCTCCTGATTTTGGTGGCCTCCATGTACCCAAACCAGGAGAGGGCTCCATGCCTGAGAGCCTGCGGCGGGTTCAGGAACTGACAGGCCACTCTGTGGAGTTTGAGGAGATGGACATCTTGGACCAGGCAGCCCTACAGTGTCTCTTCAAGAAGGTGGGTGCCTGGCAGACAGGCAGGATGGGGCTGTAAAGCAACCTCTGACCCCAGCTTTGCCCCTGCAGCACAGCTTTATGGCGGTCATCCACTTTGCGGGGCTCAAGGCTGTAGGCGAGTCAATACAGAAGCCTCTGGATTATTACAGAGTTAACCTGACAGGAACCACCCAGCTTCTGGAGGTGAGACAGAGGGGCAAGGACACAGACACTGGGGGGGCTCCTAGTCCCGCAGGCTGCGCCGCACAATGGGTAAGAGACTCGGGGGTAGAACCAGGCAGGGCCCAAACTGTTAGCACCTTAGAAGTGGCTTTCTTTACCTGTCAGCCTGTCTCCCCATCTGTAAATGGGAGTGGCCATACCCCAGCCACACCTGTGAAGGAGTAAGGGAGTGGGACTGAGTGGGACTCCTCCCTTCTATGGCCAGATCATGAGGGTGCACGGGGTGAAGAACCTGGTGTTCAGCAGCTCAGCCACTGTGTATGGGAAACCCCAGTACCTGCCCCTGGATGAATCCCACCCCACAGGCAGCTGTACCAATCCCTATGGAAAGTCCAAGTTTTTCATTGAGGAAATGATCCAGGACCTGTGCCAGGCAGACAAGGTGAGGAACCCCTTGCCCCTACCCCTGCCCCTGTGCATGGATTCCTTGCTACCCCCCATGAGCCTGAGGATGAGATTGTGAGCAACATCCACCGAGGAGGAAGCCAGGGCCCAGGACCCAGCAGTCACAGCACTTGGGGGAGGGCCCCATCCCCTGCTGCTTTCTAGGGACAGAGAACAGGTGTTGGAGGGGTGGGTAAAGGGCTCTGGATTCAGCTGGGACAGGGTCTGCACCCCTGCCCCCCACCGTCTGACCCATGTCCTGTAGACCTGGAACGCGGTGTTGCTGCGGTACTTCAACCCCATAGGCGCCCATGCCTCGGGCCACATTGGTGAAGACCCACAGGGCATCCCCAACAACCTCATGCCCTATGTCTCCCAGGTAAGAAAGATGGGGTGGCAATAGGGTTGAGGGGTACAGCTGGTGCCAGGGGCCTGGGAAGAGCTAACCTGACCCCCACCATAGGTGGCGATCGGGCGACGAGAGGCACTGAACGTCTTTGGCAATGACTATGACACAGAGGACGGCACGGGTGAGCCCAGGACCAGGAAGATCCAGGAGTGGGATCCCGGACACTGAGGTGGAACAGAGACTGTACTGAAAGCCCTCCTCCTCTGCAGGCATCCGGGACTACATCCATGTCGTGGATCTGGCCAAGGGCCACATTGCAGCCTTGAGGAAGCTGAAGGAGCAGTGTGGCTGCCGGGTAAGAGAAGGGAAGGGAGAGAGATGGGAGCCCCAGGCAGACAGGGCCCAGAGGGGTGGTTAGTCCAGGCCCTTCCACAATCCGTTTTCTTCTGAGCAGATCTACAACCTGGGCACAGGCACAGGCTATTCGGTGCTGCAAATGGTCCAGGCCATGGAGAAGGCCTCAGGGAAGAAGGTAGGCCAGATGGGCGTGCAGCCCCACCTGATTCTTGGCAATAGAAGACCTGACGGGCACACCAGCACAGCCCTGTCTACTCAGGCTGCCTTAGCACTAGGTGCTGCAAGTGAGGCCCTGCTCTGCACCTGCTCTTCTTGGGACCAGCGGTATGGGTGAGGCCAGGGCTCGCTCCGCTAGGCGGCGACCGCCCCTTCTCTTACAGATCCCATACAAGGTGGTGGCACGGCGGGAAGGTGATGTGGCTGCCTGTTATGCCAACCCCAGCCTGGCCCTCGAGGAGCTCGGCTGGACTGCAGCCTTAGGGCTCGACAGGATGTGTGAGTGCTAGCCCCAACCCCGGACCCTGGGTGCTGGCTTGGCCCCTGGGGGAGAGTGAAGTGCTAGGAAGGGGCCGTTTGGGTCTGGGCATATGCCCTTCGGGCGCCCTGTGTTCCAGTGTGGACCCTGACCAGTGTGGTCCTTGCCCTGTATTCACAGGTGAAGATCTGTGGCGCTGGCAGAAGCAGAATCCTTCGGGCTTCAGCTCCCAGGCTTGAAGCCTCCCCTGCTGTGGGCCAGGAAAGGGAAAGAGGACCGCCTGCTCTCCAGCCTCTGTCAGGCCTCAGCGGCTCCCCTACCTCAAACCCCAGCTGGCCCCACTCAGCCCACCAGGCCTGAGGCCAAGGGCCCCAGTGAGTGAGAGGCGCGGGTCTCTAACTCTTCTCTTCCCAGGGCTCTGGGAGCCCACGAGGACCACCAGGAGTGAGCAGGGGAGGCAGGGCTCCGAGACAAAACACCCTCCTCCCAGGCACTAATTTATACTGCTATGAAGGAGCTTCTCTAAGTATTTAAAATAAAAATTTTCTTACACCAGGGCAGATTCCCACACAAGGTCACTCTACCCCTTGGATGGAATCCTCCAGGCCTGAAAGTTGAAGCAATTTCTTTAATTTTGTCGGAATCCAGGACACAACAAGAAAAACACCCCAAACCACATGGAGACAGAAGACGAGACAGAACTTCTCCCCCACCTCCCCCTTGGCCCTAGAGTGGGGACAACGTGGGGGTGAGGCAGCTGGGGGAGACCTTGCGCCTCAGTCCAGCCCTGCAGGCTCCAGGCCTGCGGGGAGCAGGGTAACAGGGAGGCAGGGCCCAGCCCCCAAGCCAGGACCTGCTGAGGGAAGGTACCCTCAAAGGACTCCGCCCCCCTCACCAACACGCCTGCCCAAGGGCAGGTGGCCCACAGCAGCAGTGGGGCCCAGGGCTAGGGGCACATTCATGATTGAGAAGCAGCTGGAGTGGAGGCAGGAGACACACGATTATCTGGGCAGAATCACCTGGGGGGTGGTAGGTGGGGCCTGGGAGGGGCCCATGGGCCAAACCCTGAGGTCACAGGAGGGGGCCCAAAGCAGGGCTAGTGAGTGAGGTCCTGAGTGAGAGTGGGTCAGTGGCTGGGCCCCATTCTCCCGCTGCCTACAGCCCCACCAATACTGCTGCCAGGGAGGCCCACCTCCAGGGAAATGGGGTAAGAAGCAGCCCACCCCTTGCTGCAGACAGCAAGGTGGCTGAAGCCAGGAAGGAAGGCCTGGCCAGGCCTCGGCCCGCCTGCCCCAGAGGCCTGTGGGAAGAGGACAGGTCGGGGAGAGGGGGATGGGTTCGACCGGCTCAGAACTGAGATGGTGCCACGCGTGCTGGGTCCCTCGAGCTGGAGGACCATGCTATAGGCCAGCAACTCTGGCTAGACAGGAGGCAGCAGCTTCTCAAGAAACTCCTTCACCGCTGCCATCTCCTGGGGACAAGGGGAGATAGTGTGAGGCTCCTGGCTAGAGGGAGGACGGAGAGGGGTGAGTGGGAAGCAGCCCCTCTCCACTGACCTGAGGACAGGAGCTGTGCATGACACCTGGGTAAGTCTTGAACTGGACCCTGGCAGGCGTGACAACGGACCGGAGCTTCTCGGCTGTCAGGGCTCCAAACCGTACTGGAACCATGGGGTCCAGCTCCCCATGGCACTGAAGGATGGCCAAATCCTTCGCACTGCCATTGGCTGCCTGTGGGCCAGACGAGGCTTAGAAGACAAAGCCAGTGCTTGGGCACAATCCCCAGGCCACAAGGAGACTCACAGGGCAGGAGGCAGGTGGTGGAGATACTCACCTGCGGGAATGCCCGGTGCAGAGGCAGCCAACAGCTCAATGCCACAATGCCAGCCAGAGGGTGGGGGCAAGTGAGGGCTGTGTAGAGGGACAGGGCCCCACCCTGGAAGGAGGAAAGAATAAAAGAGGTCAGGAAGGCACACCTCACCTCTCCTGTCCCCCAGCCCTCCCCACTCACCTGTGAAAAGCCTCCCAGGACAATCCGATTAGCAGGGATCCCATTCTTCATCTCATGTTCAATCAAGGCCTTGACTGCGGGGAGGGAGCATCAGTGGGTGGGGAGGGAAGCTGCCAGAGGGGCCCAGGGAAGGGAGCCAGACAGATACTGCCCCATGCTTTCCTGGGGGTGGAGGGGAAGAAGGAGGGTGCTGAGGAGGAGCAAGGGCCTTACTGTTCTCTGCTGCCTTCTTGATGCCAGCCTCATCCTCTGGTGCATCTGGACTCAGCCCCATCAGGTCAAACCTGGGGGAGCAGAGGCGTTGGCAGCTGATGGCAGACCCAGGCCAGCCCACTCTGCTTCCACATCTCCCCAAACTCACCATGAGGGCATCACCATCTTCATGTTGAGTGTCACAGGGATCCGAGGCCTAGGGAGGGATGGCAGGAAGGGCCTGAGCAGAAGGGATGAGGAAACCACAGCAGAGTCCAAGAGCAGCCCTTGGGGGCCCCTCCCAGCAGGCAGGGCCTGTGTTTAAGGTGTTGCCAGGCAACCTGCCACGTGGGGCTGGAAGCTGAGGTTGAGGCATCAGCAGTAGCAATGGAGAAGCAGAGCCCAAAACTCGGTATGACGGGGCTCCAGCTCAGTGGGTGAGTACATGGGGAAGGGGTGCAGGAGGGCCTGCTTCTAGGAGGTCTCAGGTCTTAGAGGTCCTGGGGCTGGGGGCTGGGGCTGCACAGGAGTGAAGGCTAAAAATGGCACTCCCAACTGCCCGGGGTCCAGGCCCCAGGACGCAGCTGGCAAGAGAGAACAACCTGGGACCACAGAACCACCTGTAAGCGGATCCCCACCCTCAGCCTCTCCCTTGCTGGGGTGACACTCACGCATGGGGACAGATGTACTTGACGTGAGGGAGCCGGATGGTAGAGAGGGCGTCAGCCCAGCTGTGCCTATAGGAAGGGAGGGGGGAAAGGCACCGATGTGAACAGGGAGAAAGAGAGGTGCAGGCCTCTCCAATCCTGCCCTCTGGGCCCTTCCCCACCTCTGCAAGGAACAATACCTCCCCAGCTTACTTACCCTGTGTCTCCAAGTCCATGTAAAAAAATAACCTGGAAAGGGGTCAAAGATGGGGAAGAGGGCAGTCATCATCCTATCACCCCTCTGTCCTCCAACTTCTGGCCACCCCTCTTGCATGCCCAAGGATGGTGGGGGGAACTAAGGAAGCGGCCAAACAGGTTATTAACCTCCTGGCTTCAGGCGGCACCCTTCTCAATACTGCCACCTACAGCCAGTTCCTCAGCTGGCCTGGGGGCAGTTGGGGGTAGGAGAGGACCCTTACCGCAGCCGTTTCCCGCTCAACTCCAGACACAGTGGCAGCATCGGTGAGCAGGGGCACAGACATGGTGTTACCACACATACACTGCAGGGCTCCACGGCTGGGGCCTGTGCAAAGTCAGGGGAGTGGTCAAGAGCAAGACCAAGCAGGGGAGACTCCTAACACAGAGGCAAAACCTCAGACCCAGAGCCCTCCCAGGCTATCAGCCCCTGCATGGCACTTGGGACTTCTGTCCTGGGCACAAAGAAAAGGCAGGCAAGAAGTTCTGGGCCAGAGTGGGTAGGAAGTTTGCCTCCATTCTGTAGCTGAAAAGCACAGGCAGCCACCCTAGAATCCACCACACAGCTTCCTGGAGATGGCAGAGGCAGGGCTTAGGGACCACGGGGAGGGAAGCCAGGGCATCCCCTGCTGCCTTTCCCCCACCAAACGCTCCTCAACAGGGAACTGCCTCCTCCCTGCTCTCTAATCTTCATCCTTCTCTAGGGAACCTGGGTCCCCTTCTCCCATACTCCCAGCCCTACTGGAAAATGAAGGGGAGAAAAATGCCAGGGAAATACGCCTCCAGCCCCTATCCCAACCCCACACACACATATTCTCCAAACTCCCTCCCACCCAGCCCCCAACCAGCCTCCACAGCAGTTTCTGGCTCAGCCCCAGCGGGCTGTCCATGTTCCCAGAAAGCACACAGACTCGGGCCCACCCCGTGCCCTCAACTGGTACCCCACAAGCCCCTGAGTGGGGCTACATGCTGCTGCCGCGCAGTGATTCCACATGGGTCCCCGGCCTGACCATGCTCTGGGACTCCCAAGCACACAAAAGAATGTCAAGCTGCTGGCCACTCCCCGGCCTCAGCATCCTCCACACTCCCCGGAAGCTTCCATACCTGCCTCTAAGTGGCCACCCTTACCTGTGGGCGCCGCCCCCACCCACCCTCCCAACTCGCTGCCACCTCCCATCTCTCAACCCCCAAGTGCAGCCCTCCACAGTGGGGGCCCTCACCTCTGACCCTGGACCCCCTCTTCCCACCCGGGAATGCACCTTTTGCCTTAAGCCGGTGTTCCCTTCCTTCGCCATAGGGCAACCTCCACCTGTCAACTCAGGGTCGTCCCTCTCAGAGTAGTGCCTTCCCCAGATCCGGGGTCCCTCCCCAAAGTTAAAACTTCCACCCTGATCCAGGTGTCCCGCTCCCCACAATGGGAACTTCTGTTCTGACCAAAGGTTCCCCCCTCCACACTATGACATTTTCCACCCTAACCTGGCACCCGCTCCTGCCTACAAAGAGGCGTTCCACCTTTGACCCTGGGGCGCCCCCGCCCCACAATGGGATCTATCACTTCCAACCCTGGGGTCCCTCCTATCATACCGAAACACCCCCTTCTTGTCCCTCTACCCCCAAAGTCCCCAAGACTGGCCAGAGCCTCTTCGCCCCTCACTACCCACCCCCACCTCACAACTGCGGTTGACCTCCCCACTTGCCGGGGGGTCCGACCTGCCCGCAGTACCTCCCTCCGCCTGCTGGTCCCGGACCAGGGTACCTCCACTCCGTGGCGGTTTCGAGACGTCTGGGGCGATTCTCCTTTCTCCTGCACAGACACACACTCTTCCCCCTCGGCCGCCCCCGCCGGAACTTCCGTTCGAGTCCCGGGAACCCAGCCATCGCGCTGCCGGAAGTAGCCTGGCCAGCGGTACGGAACCCGGAAGTGGGCTCGGGGTTTCTCCAATAGGGGCTGCCATGTTGGATACAGTGGGCCACTCCCGGTAATTGAAGCACGAAGTCACCCACAGAAACTAGACAGCGTACTCGGGACTCCCACTTGCTACCACCATCCATGCGCCCCCTGGAGGAACGCCGTCTGGAAGGAAAAGCATTCCGCAGTCTGCATAGTTTCCTGCCTTCCCATTCCCATGTGCCGCACTTCATTAGGGCCTTGGGTAGCCACCACTGGTTTTCATGCTCTGTTCCAGGATCATGGATACAAACACTGAATTGAAAAGATCCTTAGGGACCATCTAGTCCTTCAGTCTTAAAGATGAGGAAAGCGAGGCTCAGGAAGATTGCCGATAGTGCTGCCTCTGCACCTGCTCCCTGAGCTACAAAGTGGTGATAATAACCACCCTATTTCACAGCTTTGCTGTTGGACCCAAATAAGGTCGTGTGGAAATGACCTCCATATTTATATGCTGTAAAATCAGAGCGAGGTTTTGAGTCCAAAAGGGCCCTGGGAAAATAAC